CCTTTGTCTACAAGCCATCCCTCTTACCTCCTTGAGGGATGGCTCTTTCAAAAGGGCCCCCCGGCTAGATCATTTCCTTTTCTTTGGGATGGTTTTTCTTGCTGCCTCCTGTACAGTGTTACGAGCCCCCATTCATAGTTCTTCAGGCACTCTGTCCACCAAATCTAGTTCCTTAAATCTGTTCTTCACTTCCACTGTGTATTCATAAGGGATTTGGTTTAGATTATACCTGACTAGCTCAGTGGTTTTTCCTACTTTCTTCAGTTAAAGCTTGAATTTTGCTATGAGAAACTGATGATCAGAGCCACAATCAGCTCCAGGTCTTCTTTTTGCTGACTATATGGTGCTTCTCCATCTTTGGCTGCAGAGAACATAATCAATCTGATTTTGGTATTGCCCATCTGGTGATGTCCATGTGTGGAGTCGCCTCTTGTGTTGTTGGAAAAGAGTGCTTGTGATGACCAGCTTGTTCTCGTGACAAAAGTCTATTAGCATTTGCCCTGCTTCATTTTGAATTACAAGGCCAAACTTCCCTGTTGTTCCTTTTATCTCTTGACTCCCTACTTTAGCATCCCAGTCCTCTATAATGCCAAGAACATCTTTCTTTGGTGTCAGTTCTAGGAGGTGTTGTAAGTTGTCATAGAATTGGTCAGTTTCAGTCTCTTCAGCATCGGTGGTTGGTGCAGAAACTTGGATTACTGCGATGTTGAAAGGACTGCCTTGGATTCATATTGAAATCATTCTATGATTTTTGAGGTTGTATCTCAGTACAGCTTTTCCCATTTTTTTGTTGACTATAAGGGCTACTCTATTTCTTCTACGAGATTCTTGTCCACAATAGTAGATATGATAATCATCTGAGTTGAATTTGCCCATTCCCATCCATTTTAATTCACTGATGCCCAGGATGTCAATGTTTATTCTTGCCATCTCCTGTTGGACCACATCCAGCTTACCAAGGTTCATAGATCTTACATTCCAGGTTCCTATGCAGTATCCTTCTTTGGAGCATCGGGCTTTCCTTTCACTTCCAAGAGTGTCTGCAGCTGAGCGTCCTTTCAGCTTTGGCACAACCACTTCATTAGCTCTGGAGCTACTTGTACTTGTCCTCCGCTCTTCCTCAGTAGCATGTTGGACACCTTCCGACCCAATGTCCAATTCTCCTTAATTAGTCCAGTGTCTAAACCTTCAGGGGAACGTGTAATGGCGCGTCCCGTTCTTTCCTCCTGGGGAGAGGTAGACCTCTGAATCAAGCCAGTCAAGTTGCTGGTTTGCCCCATGACTCAAAGGTAAATACCTCTCTTTAAACAGCCCAACAGGCTGTCTTCAGTCTCATCTGAGACCCCCTGTTTGGAGAAAAATCCTCCCCCTGAGCAAGGAGCTCAGGAGAAAGCAGTCGCTTTCAATGTCTACCAGAAGTCCTCTCCATGTATCTAGAGCACATTTTGATTTCACTGTCTGCCACAGCTTCATCCTGTGAAGTGCTGGGAACAATAGTCTTTAGTGAGGTACTAAGAATTCTGTGCTCTGATTCTGTGCACTGGAGCACTCCTGTATGGAGAATTAGTGCAGGGAAATCGCCCCAGAGGAAGACCACAGCTGCAATACAAGGATATCTGCAAATGGGATCTGAAGGCCTTAGGAATAGACCTCAACAGATGGGAAACTCTGACATCTGATCGTTCAGCCTGGAGGCAGGCGGTGCATCACGGCCTCTTTTGAAGAGACTCTTGTCCAACAGGCCGAGGAAAAGAGACAGTCCCGAAACCAGCAAAATCAGGGAGCTGGACAAGGAACAGACTGTATTTGTCTTCAGTGCGGAAGAGATTGGCCTTCTCAGCCACACTAGATGCTGTTCCAAGACTTTTATCCAGAGCACGTTACCATAGTCTCTCGAGACTGAACGATGCCGACAGTGACCTTATAATACCTGATCTAACTTTAATAGGAGAAAGTTATTAGTTAAAATTAAAGTTTTAATATGTGGTCATAGACCCGATTAGAGAAAGTTATTATAAAATTGTTCAGTACGACATTTTTTTAATCTATAGGCAATTTCCCTCACTCCTCAAAAAGAATCAGCATCCATTAGGAACTCAGTGGTTATCCAAACACACAAGAGCAACTGAGCTGTATCTGCTTGTTGGTCCCTCATAGAATAGTACCGCTAAATGGGACTTTTATTTCAACATTTATACAAACATATTGATGGAATAGCTCTATTTTAGTTGAAACTAACAAAAAGGATTTAGCCCTTTGTCTTTAACATATTTGTTAAATAACATCTTTAAAGCTATGACTCCAATCCAGTTTTAACTTCGTATTCTGAAGTCTACATTGTAGCAATTTACAGCAGATTTAAATCACTTATACCAAATTTAGAAATTAAAGAAGTCATTCTTTAAAATGATGTAGAGTCCTTACTCAAAGATTGCATAGTACAGGATGACAAAACTGCTACATTTTGGCCAGTGAAACCTGATCTAGTGCTTCATGGAATTCCACCTGGTTATAATATTTGATCCTTCTATTTGGTCTTAAGATCATTTAACAGTGGACAGTATTCTTGCAAGACAATCTATAAGAAGTATAGGCTACAATGGAACATATAGTCATGTTGATTCCCCCCTTTTTTATTATCAGCAAAGCAACATTCTTAAAAATAGCATTATTTTCATCTTTTCATTATTGTTCTTATCTTTTAATGCAGATAATATCATTAACCATTGGAAACAAGCCCACTCTTACTAACCCCTTTCCAGCTGCTGAATCTGCTGTTATGAAGTTGATCTGTGCCAGCCCCTCCCGGTTCACTTTGGAACCTGCATATGCAGATCCTGAGCTGGGTCTGTCCTGCCCTTTTCTTCACCAAAACAAGCAAGGGGTAAGTGTCTAAAACATGAAGGCAGAACACTCACCTCTGCTTTTGCAGCCTAGGTACCCTTCAGATATAACAGGGGCTGCTTCATCTGGAAATGCTGACAAAATAGTTGAAGGCTTTTAAAAGACTGCTCTTAGAACAATGCAGCAGCTGAAATCCTATTCATTGAGCTACACTGTGATTTTTCAGAACTCAAAAATTTCCATTTTCCCCCTGAAGCTTCTGTAGTATCCCTCTCACTGTGAGGAAGCTGTTGGGGATCATGGGATGGATGGAGGTCTTTCATATCTAAATATCCCCCCTGGAGGCATTTTCATAAATTAAACACGGCTCCCATCCTGTTGCTCCCAATGACTTCTCCATGATGAAAAGGATCCCTGAAAGACTGCCACAGCTGCCATCAGTTTTCCACACATAACTCTACAAAAAGGATTTCTGCCATTATTATTATGGCTTGTCTTTGACTGTGCATATAAATAAAATTATTTTTCTTCCAGGTCCCTGTCTCAGTTCATCACAATCCAGTGTTGGAGCTGGAGGTTTATGATCAACAGGGGCGTAAATTTGACAACTTTAGTTCTCTTCACATTATGTGGGAAACAACAAATCATGCATTAGCCAGCATAGGGGCCAATATGCCAATGGAACTGACTCTGAGAGATTATGGAAGTGATCAGAAAAAAATGCAAGGTACAAGTCCACTTCCTTATGTGTTCAGTTTGTTTATGCGGACTGGTTTTGCTTGGTGGTATTAGTGCCAGGTCCAAAAAGATAGCCTTTTTTGGTCCACCCATTGCTTCTTGGGATGCAATTACAGGAAAGCTGGATTTTCTGGAGGGGAAAAAGACTTGTATAAAGATATAGCAAATGAAGGGGGCTATGCAATATTGAAGAACTGTTAATCTCTGTGTTCCTGTGTGCTGATGATCGATCATACAGAAAACACTGGCTTTCCAATTTTATCTATCTCATTCTCTTAGGTTTACAAACTATTTTAGTTCATCAGAAACCTGGAACGACAACTATATCCGCTACTGCAGTTGGATATCAGGATTCTCATCTGAATGCCAATGAAGTGAATACACCGGTAATACAGTTGTCCTTTAAGATATACTGCCCTAGTGATGTACATTTGCTATTACCATTTCCATGATCCACTGGAGAGGTACTAGAGAATTAGAGCCATTGAAATATCTTTTCCCCACCTCAAATGCCTGTGAACACATTTTAAGTATCTAATTCAATTGGTTGTTATGGGTTTTCCGGGCTGTTTGGCCATGTTCTTAAGGTTTTTCTTCCTAACGTTTCGCCAGTCTCTGTGGCCGGCATCTTCTGTGAAACGTTAGGAAGAAAAACCTTAAGAACACAGTCAAACAGCCCAGAAAACCCACAACAACCATCGGATCCCAGCTATGAAAGCCTTCAAGAATACATCTAGAGCTTTGATTACACACTTTCCTTGAGTACCTGAATTCAGATTTTTCACAAATAAAAACATTTGGTCTCTATTTTCTTTTATGATGAATGCTTGTAATATTAAACATTAGTAAGACAGACGTAAAGGAAATATATTTATGATTTCACTGGGGGGGGGATGAATGATTCAGCTCATGCAGTTCCAAAGCACAATACATTGACTATTACCCAGAAGTCAGGATAGGATTAGCAAAAGTTTTTCATGACACCAGTGGGGTTTACAACCTCTCGTCCCTCTGCAGAATTTAGTGAATTGTACTGCCTTTAAGATACCTGTATCCAGATTGTGACAAGCCAGATGAGAATTGTGTGTGCTGCACTGTTTATATTTCCACTTAAAACAGCTCTATCCCATCCCATCATAAAACAATTCCTTCTCTATTGTCAAACACTATCCACTTTTCACAGGAAAGGAGAATAGGAGCATTTCCTATATCACGTCATACTGTTGGTCTACCTAACACAGCAGTAATTCTCTTAGGTCTCAGGCAAGCATCTTCCTCATCATGTCTGCAGATTCCAGAAATTTAACTTGGAGACTTTGGTGTGCAATAGATGGAAATGTATTGATTTACAGCTTCTCTTGAACTTACATGTACACACAGTGGAGCTCCCTGTGCCTTTTAATGTCATTTCATTTCATTTATTAAACGAAATAGTAAATGTATTAGCAAAATATATTTGAGTGCTCTAAAATAAAAATTCTTTACAGAATTAGGTACGCTTAAGTCCTCTGAGTTAGAGAGTTTAAGTGTTCTGACTCCGTGGCAGATTTAGGCCTAAATGTGTTAGCAATTAATAGAATAAAAGCAAGAAAACAGGATCACAAGTATAACTTCTGGTTTAATAACCAATTCTGTGTTCATGCAAATTGTGTAAGTCAGTCATTTGCAGCTTCTAGGGCTCATTCATATGCTTTCTGAAAATCTATGTGATTTACACATGCATAACTAATAGCAGGATCTCACCCTGTGGTTCTTCCTGTCACTTAGAGAGCAGAGCCTTAATCATCTTTATCATACAATATCATTCATTTATTTCTAAGTGTTTTGAAAGTCAAGCTTGAGTGATGCAATCTTGAGGAGGAAGTTAGACAATTGGATTGAGAATGCAGAACTAATGAAAGGAATTTATAAAGTCTACATTTCTTTTTGAACTCAGGTAGAAAATGCAGTTAGATGTAATTTAAGTTATATGATTCAAACATGAGCAAAAGAATAGGTTTTTCACAGTGAGGCATACCAAATAACATTGGCTCTCCATGGTTGCCATTATATATTCAGTATGCGAAAATAGAGAAATTCAAGATAGATGGGCATGTTACTAGATTCATGTCCTCTTTGAAGGACACACACTGCACTTTTTTCGTCCATAGTCTGTTTGCCAATCTATATATTTCTGTATTCCAACACATTTTTTTTCATATCATGCCTGCCAGGAATCTCACACTGCTGTCTTTTGTTTTCTTCATTATTTCTGGCAGTATGAACCTCTTACAGCTGTTTCTGCAACCATTGAATTAATGCTTGTGGAAGGTGTAAACGTGAGTCCTAAACAAGTGACCATCTATAATCACCAGGGCATCAAGGTAAAGGACTCCCTTTGAAGGGTTATCTTTAAATTATGTGAAAACAAACATTATATAATGCATAGCCGCCCCGAGTAGACATGGTCTAGAGGGGCGGGGTATAAATAAATAAATAAATAAATAAACAAATAAATAAATAAATAAATTCTTTTTGGCAGGCTGAATTGTTCATTAAGGAAGGCTCTGGACATTTTTTAATTAATACCAGTGTTGCCAACATTGTAAAAGTGGTTCATGATGAATCTCAAAGTGTGGCAGTGGTAAGTACTATTATGCAAACATTTTCTGCTCAATTTAGGGAAAATCTTTTAACAGACAATGCTTTTTGTAAAGTAGAGTGGGGAAAAGTATTAAATAATGTTTCGGTCAACCGGCTTTAAAATCTCAGTGAGGGTGACTCAAAGAGTGCATCTGTGCTTGTTGTTCTGTACCATCAAGTGGGAACCGCCGTATAGCATCCCTAACAAGGGTTTTCAAGGTAAGTGAGATATATTTAAGGCATGGTTTTCACATGGTGACTCAAAGAGTGCATCTGTGCTTGTTCTGTACCATCAAGTGGGAACCACCGTATAGCATCCCTAACAAGGGCTTTTCAGTTTCACACCCCTAGTCAGTTTTCATTGCTGAGTGGGAATTCGATCCCAAATATTCTGAGTCCTAAACTATCACTCTATCCTAGTGTCACAGTAGTTTGATACTGTTTTAAATTGGCTTCATTGGATGGAATCCTAGGATTTCTGGTTAGGTGAGGCATTTCAGGTCTCTGCTGGAATGCTCTAGTGCTGTACTTCAGAGGCATGTGTGAGAGCTCTCTAGCTAAGAAGTCTGCTAGGAGCCATATCAAACTGTAAATCCCACGACAGTTGTAATGCCATCAAACGCCTATAACTGTGCAATGTAGATGTACAGTGGTGCCTCGCATTACGACATTAATTCGTTCCAGCGAAATCACTGTAGAACGAAAACGTCGTAATGCGAAATAAAGAAGCCCATAGAAACGCATTAAAACCCGATTAATGCATTCCTATGGGCTTGAAACTCACCGTCCAGTGAAGATCCTCCATAGCACAGCCATTTTCGCTGCCCGTGCAGTGAGGAATCCATCCCAGAAAAGAGTGGGGAGCCTTTTTTTTTACCTGGCTGGCCAAAAATCGTCGTTTTGCGAGAATCGGTTCCTGAAGCAGGAAACCAATCATCACAAAGCGAAATTCTCCCATTGAAACCTTTGTAAAGCAAAAAGTTTGTCGTAATGCAGTTTTGTCAAACGGGGCGCTCATCTTGCGAGGCACCACTGTATTTTTAAATTGTCAATAGTTTGGACACTGAGTCTTCTTCGTGGTGGCTGCTAAGCTGGCGAACTTCTCTGCTGTTTTTCCAGTAGAAGACAAATACCTTTTTATTTAAGAAGGCTTTGGACAGTTGTGTGGCTGCCAAAAAAATGGTGGTTGTTGTTTTTAAACAGATTGATTAAGCATTTTTCTAGTGATGTGTTTTTATAATTTAAGAGTGAAGTGTAATTTAATATTATAAGTGGTTAAATTGTGTGTTGAATTATAGTTTCCTAACTTTTTATTGGATATAAATAGAATAAATAAATACATAAAATGCATTCGACCCACCATTCCTTGAACAAATGCACTAGTAAGGAGTAAAACTTGTGCGAGCTCCCCAGGTTCATTTCTGTGGAAAACAGTCCTTGGCCTCAGTGACATGCACAGAAAAGTCCAGGCATTTCTTAACATCAGTTGACTTCCACTTTCCAAAGTATGTGACATCTAATACCATATACTTTGGAAGTGGAAATCAAAATTTTGCTAATATGAAGTGCTTGGATTTTTTAAAAAGAAGTCACTTCTTTTCCTTAGTTCCCAGGGCCCTGATTCACTCCTATATAAGTTACTAAACTTACTAAACGTACTAAGTTCTGAAAAATTCTTCCTGCTCCTGATTATTTTATTAGCTGATGATAAGATTGAAAAAAGAAAAAATGTGTTCAAAAATACTTCAGGAGTATTATGTAGTATTAATACAATGAAATGAATTTAAAAATTCAGAGGAAACATTCCATGAAAGATCTGGATTAAGATAGCATTCTTTTATTTGAAGCTCAATAAAGTGAGCTGCAGGACATCTATGCAAACAAAGCAAGCAAAAAGGGGATAAGAGGCTGACTCCAACCAGATATTATTGCCTTTTAAAACTCACCACTTTGTTCTGGGATTGTAAAACTGATCTCCCTTCCGTCCCACTCACCTCCTCTTGCAGGTTTTGTATTTTTATTTAAAAGCCTGAGGGCAGGTTTATTAAAAAATGGTATAATCTGCTTCCAAAGATAGTATTTATCTGCTCAGTGAGAGAAAATGCAGTAATAAGTATTGATTGGTAATCCATACTGTATTTGATATTCTCTGGCTTTTAATCAAACCAAATAAATTTATTGTCATTGTAAGTATATACATAGTATACACATACAACAAAATTCATACAGAATTTTAATAGTAAAATTAAACAGAGCTATTCACCAAGTGTAGCACCTCAACATGATATATATGCTTCGGCAGACAAAATGGTTTAAAATGGGTATGCCCAAATATTGTTACAGGTGAAACAAAAGAAAATGAGTTAGTGCCATTACAGAAGATAGTATGTGGCAAAGCATTTCCAAATTCCATTACAATTAACACTGTTTACTGTTTAAATTGTTCTGTATTAAAGTAAGGTGCTGTCCATTCATGTAGAGTCTTCAAGAAGAACATTTACAATATTGTTCAATGGTTTTTGAGTTTTCTCATCCTGAAATTCTATCTGCATCATCTTTTTATAAGGTCTTTTTAAAAAATAAGCAATTCCTTCTCTGTCTGACCTATGTGTCCCTGATGCCAAGGGGAGAATACTAGAGGCTACTCAGTGTATTAGAGTGTGTTAATGTAGTTGATGGTATAGGTTTGCAGTAATTCAGTGGCATGAAAGTGTTTATGCATATTTTAGAAACGTCAGCTTTCCTTCAGTTGGAGGAGGGTTAAAAACCCTTTAAAATCTTAGTGTAAAACTGCTTTGTACACTAAATCAGTGTTACATGGTTTGTATGTGTTAAGAGCAATAACTTTCATTTTAAATGAGAAAAATTAAAAATTGTTAGGAAATACATTTTGTGCCTTTTTCCTTTCTTATATTTTAGATATATCCATTATATCCAGGGGCAGTAACAATAATGATTCATGACCTGTGTCTTCCTTCTAATGCTCTTGCTAAAGCTGAGGTGTATGTTTCTGATGTACAAGAAGTATATCTTGGAGTTGTTGACAAGGTGAGTATTTACTTTGAGGATATTGTTGAATGTAAGACTTTCTCCGTAAGGATACAAACCTTTTTAGGATGGATTAATTACAAATGGTGGGTTGATGATTCAGTTAGATTTACGTGCACCACACACAATTTAAGAGATGCAGAAGCTAGTCTAGCATATCAATAAAGAACTGAGTTATGAACTGGATTGCGAATTGCAAGTGCATGATTTCCTAATCTACTAAATTGTAATCTAGATCATAACCTGGCCAAAAGTAAGACTTACAGAAGGGAGGTCTCTGGCCAGGATTTTCATGTACAGTGGGGTCTTGACTTGTGAACCTAATCCGTATTGGAAGGCGGTTCGCAAGTCAAAAAGTTCGCAGGTCAAAATCTGCATTCCCATAGGAATGCATTGAAAACCATTT